TGTTGTGTTGTGAAGTGCCATCGAGTCGGCTCCAACCCAACAGCGACACTGTATAGGGTTTCTGAGGAGCAGCTGCTGAGCTTGAACTGTTGATCTTGCAGCTCAAACGACTTTGCAGCCCAGTGCAGTAACCCACAGCGCCACACCAGGACTCTGCATATATAGCGTTGTTGTTGTTATGTGCCTTGGAGTTGGTGCCGACTCATAGCGACCCTTTACAGGGTTTCTGAGGCTGTAAATCTTTATGGGAACAGAAAGTCTCATCTTTCTCCCACGCAACAGTTGGTAGTTTCGAACTGCTGACCCTGAGGTTCACAGCCCAATTTGTAACCCACTACGCATTTGAAGACAGGTAGTGAAATACACTGTTTTTGAAGATGTATGTGACACCATTCTTTTTGAATTTGTCATTCCCAGCATAGTAGATCATATGATTGTCAGCTTCAAAATGGCCAATGCCATTCCATTTCAGCTCGCTAAAGCTAGGATTTGATCTTCATGTGTTTATTTTGACAACTTCCAATTTTCTTAGAATCATACTTTGTACATTATATATTCCGATTATTAATGGATGTTTGCAGCTGTTTCACCTCATTTTGAGTTGTGCCCCATCAGCAAATGAAGGTCCTGAAAACTTTGCTCCATTCACATCATTATGATCAACTTTACTTTGAGGAGGCAGTTCTTCCTTAGTCATGCTTTGAATGCTTTGCAACTTGAGGGGGCTCCTCTCCCGGCACTGTATCTGACAGTATTCTGGTGTTATTCATAATATTTTCATGTTCTGGCACTATGCCTGCTATTGATAAGGTTTTCAGTGATTAACCATTCAGAAGTAGTCTGCCTGTCGTATGTCCTAATCTTAGTCTGTAAACTCAGCTGAAACCTGTCCACTTTGGACGGCCCTGTCGGATGCATAGTTTCCAGCATTACAGCAATAGGCAAGTCACCACAGTAGGACAAACTGACGGGCTAGTGGTGACTGGTGTTGAGTAACTTTTTTTTTTTTTTGTAGTTTGGTCTTTCCTTTAACAAGCATTCAAGTTATTAGGATTTGTGATTCACGTTGTCTTTCGTAGAAATGAAGCGGTGGTCATTTCTGGAAGGAAACTGGCTCAGCAGATCAAGCAAGAAGTTCATCAGGAGGTGGACCAGTGGGTGGCATTGGGCAACAAACGACCACACCTGAGCGTGGTTCTGGTCGGAGAGAATCCTGCAAGTCATTCTTACGTCCTCAACAAAACCAGGGCTGCTGCAGATGTGGGTATGTGACACTCTCCAACCCTGGCTGCTGATACAGTGAGGTTTCTTTTTACTGATTAGAAAACACAAGCAGAGGAGACTAATGTAATTGAACTGTGTTCAGAACTTTGTCATCAAAAAATCAGGTTCTGTCTATGGAGGCTTGGTAGAGTAGAGCAGGAGGAATGTGGCTGGTATTCTTGGGGTCTTCTGAAATACCAGCTAAATTCTGTTTTCAGTCTTAACAGTTGGCAGATGACCTTAGCCACATTTTACATTTCCTTTCTTGGGCAGTAATTAGAGTCTCTAACAGAGGTGTGTGTTTGGGCATATGCAGTATAAGGCAGTGGGGCCTGGAGAGGAAGAATGATGAGACTACAGTGATGTGGCACACAGAACACCGTACAGTCATAGATTTGAAGGAAATGACTCTGACTTCTGGCAAATGGCCTTTGATCCCTTCACTGATTCATTCCAAAATCAGTTAAGTTGCATAGTTTAGACATAGTTGGAGTTTTGATAAGATAGAAATGAGAAAGGAGGAAAGCCAAGAACAAAGAAGGAACTGGACTACCGGGGTAGTTGTCTGCACGGGCCACTGGCTTCTCCATTTTGAGGCCAGAAGAACTAGATGGATGGTGCTGGGCTACCACTACTGAGCATCCTCATCAGGAGCACAATAGATCGATCCTGGTCTAAAGGGGGAGAAATGTGGAATTGAACTTAATAACAGGTTAGTCCCAAGAGTAAAGATGGTCACAAAAATGGTATCAAAAAATCAAAAAAATCTGTAAAAAAGTAATTGGAATTTTTGAATGCAGACGTGGGTGAGGTGTGTGCTCTCACTGTACCACAGACGACTATGTCTGCAGACAAGGGGTGTGTAGCTTCAGATGTGCCTCTGTCTACTTACCCAGGGGTCAGTGTCAGAGTGCAAAATAATGCCTTTCTGTTCCAAAGGGCTGTGAGAAACCACTGATGTGGCTGGGCTGAGTGTTACTGGGCCGATGAGCTTTTGGTATATATTCTATTCTTTATCGCTAAGGAAGGAGAGCTCCTACCCTTTTAATTGAAAAAAGTCTTCAGACATCCCTAGGAAATAACACTGGTGTGGCGCTGTAGGATATGCGCTGGACTGGTGACTGCCAAGTTAGCGATCCACAACCACCAGACGCTCTTGGACACTCTATGCAGGGTTGCTATGCATCCGAACTGACTCTGGCATACAACCTCCATATGAAATAGCAAGCCATGATTAAAAACAGATATTGGGAGGTAGTATGGTATAGTGGAAAGGAGCTCTGGTAGCGTAGTGGTTACGAATTGAGCTGCTAACCCCAAGGTCGGCAGTTCGAAACTACCAGCTATTCCGTGGGAGAAAGATGAGGCTTTCTGTTCCCATAAAGATTTACAGCCTCGGAAACCCTGTGCCGGGGTCACTATGAGTCGGAACCGACTCCACGGTGCTTAACAACAACATGGTATAGTGAAAGGCATTGCCCTTGGGACCACAAAGGTCTGGGTGTGGTGTTCTGACTGTCATTAGCTGTTCTGTTATTTAATCTCACTTAAGACTCTTAACTCCTTGGTTGTAAAATGAGGTGCATGAGGATTGCATAGTTACCTGCTGTGAAGTCAGTTCCAACTCATAACGACCCTGTATAGGGTTGTCTGAGGCTGTAAATCTTTATGGGAGCAGAAAACCTCATCTTTCTCCCAAGGATTGCATTAAGTCAAGTAAACAGAGTTTCGAGCTAGCATTCGCTAATGTGTATCTTTGTGAAGTTACTTGTTTAGGTTCTTTGTGAGTCAACTGAGCTTTTCAACTACCAGGATGTGTGTGATCATGAAAAATCTCTATGTTTGAGGAGCATGGCAGATAAAACAGAAGTGCTTAGAAATGCCAATGTATTATTTTAATCTTGGAATTATCTTATCCTAGGAATCATCAGTGAAACAATTTTGAAACCAGCTTCGATTTCCGAGGAAGAACTGTTGAATTTAATCAATAAACTCAACAACGATGACAATGTAGATGGCCTCCTTGTTCAGCTTCCTCTTCCAGGTCAGTTTTGAGCTCCCCCATTTAAAATGGTTTCTGAGGAGTGGAGAGGCTTGCTACTCTATAAACCTGGCCCCTTACAGGAGAGTTGACTTTAAAGGGGAAACAAACCGAGAGAAGCTATTTGATTAGATGTGGGCCAGACCTGCTCAGACTACCAGTTATCTCTTAGTTTTCGCTTGAGATCTTGATTTGGAGGACATTGGAGGGAAGCAGTTGTACAGAGGATTTTGGCTTTGATATTAGCATTTGGTTTTGTTTGACATGAGTCTAGTCGGTGTGGGTGAAGAAGTGAACCATGGAGACAAGGTGTGGAAGGAGATAAGACTTGCCTAAGAAACCAGGCACACTGGAGTCAAGCAGTGCTGAATATGTAATGGTGATCCGAGGCCCGCATGCTGATTCTTTTTCAGAGCACATCGACGAGAGAAAGGTCTGCAATGCTGTTTCTCCAGACAAGGATGTTGATGGCTTTCATGTAATTAATGTGGGGAGAATGTGTTTGGACCAGTATTCCATGTTACCTGCAACTCCATGGGGTGTTTGGGAGATAATTAAGCGAACAGGTAGGTATATCTAATATTTGTATGGCTGTTAGTATTATATATATAAAAAAAGTGATTCTTGCAAATGGCAAAAATTTATATAGTCCCAAAGAGTGGAAGCCCTCACCCCACATTCTTTAGTCCCACTCCCTAGAGGTAACCATAAATATCTTATAACTGTTTGTGTTATTTAATCTAGAAGTCACAGTGAAGAAGACTTAAGATTGAATAGTGTGGTAGATAGTTTACAGGGTACATTTCCATTTTGCTTTCAGTCTTCCCTATGTGTGGCAAGAGGAGTCCCTGGTCATGAGGTGCTGTAGAGTCGGTTCCGACTCATAGCGACCCTATGCACAACAGATGAAACATTGCCTGGTCCTGTGCCAATCTCACAATCATCATTACCTTTGAGCCCATTGCTACTGCCACTGTGCCAGTCCTTGTGGGAGTCTTCCTCTTTCACGCTGACCCTTCACTTTGCCAAGCATAATGTCCTTCTCCAGGGACTGGTCTCTCCTGGGAATATGTTTGGAGTATGAGAGATAAAGTCTGGTCATTTTGTCTTCTAAGGAACACTTTGGCTTTACTTCTTCCAACACAGATTTATTTGTTCTTTTGGTTAATACTCTTCTTCACTATAACTCAAATGTATCAAATCTTCTACGGTCTTCCTTATTCACTGTCCAACTTTCAAATGCATATGAGACTATTGAAAATACCATGGCTTGAAGGGTCAGGCGCACCTCAGTCCTCAAACTGACATCTTTGCTCTTGAACACTTTAAAGAGGTCTTGTGCTTAATGTAATACGTTATTTGATTTCTTAACTGTTGCTTCCATGAGTGTTGATAGTTGATCCAAGCAAAATTAAGTCTTTGACAACTTTAATCATTTTTCCATTTGTCATAATCCTTTCCCTGGGTGGTACAAACTGTTGAGAACTTAGCTACTAACCCAAAAGTTGGGAGGGGGGGTGTCTTACAAGAAAGGCCTGGCAGTCCGCTTCTGGAAGGGCATGGCCTTGAAAACCCTAGTTCTGTTCCAACACACATGGGGTCACCAGAAGTGGGAATTGACTCGGGGGCCACTGGTAACTGGCACGTGTAACAAGAGGGCTCCAGCTGACTGAGAGGCAGTGAGCATGACCCCATTATGAAAACAAAAGCCATCTGACTTCCTTTCTCTTTACTGCTCCGTCTAAGGCAGCCTGGCACTAATTTGAATGTCATCTACATTATTTTTACAGGAATTCCAACCCTAGGGAAGAATGTGGTGGTTGTTGGACGGTCAAAAAATGTTGGGATGCCTATTGCGATGTTGCTGCACACAGATGGGGCACATGAACGTCCTGGAGGTATGCGAGTTCAGTGTGTCTTCTCTCTCCACTGAGAAACTTCAGGATCGGAGCGTGTTGCCTGTGTGGTGCAGATTGTGGCAGAGCAGCTTCTGTCTGAGAAGCTATATCCAGTGTTACAGAGAGTTTGTTATTTATTGGTTATGGAATTCTTTGAGAAATGAATGTGCCTCATTTGAGTTTGAATTTGGGTATAAACATACTTCTAGACATGAGACTTTACCTTTAGTCATGTAGAATGATCTAAATAGTTTTGCAGTTAGAAATTTTCAGTGTGACTTTAACAGTTGGAGCTCAGTACTGGTTCTAATTCAGAGATCGTTTCTCAGTCTGTGCAATTTGGTAGAAAAAAACAGCTTAGACCATTGCAAAGGCTTAAATTGATCTGAGTGTAATGTCATGTCAAGTCCTTGATTTGTTTGAGGACAAGTCTCATAAATCCATGTCAGCACATGTGATTATGATCTTACACGATTAGATCAGAAACAATGCCAATACTCGCTTTTAAATAAATCTTTCAGAATACTTTTTAAATGCTTGAATAATTAATTCTGTTGGTGGTTTCCTTAAAAAAAGGTAAAATCTTAAAAGGTTGCCAACTAGGATAAGGAATAAATTCAATCACGTATGACTCCAAAGGACAGTGCTAGGACTGACTAATGGGTTAAAATGTTAAAAATTCAAATAAAAAAATCTAGCATCAATTAAAAAAAAATATATATATAGATAGATAGATAGATAGATAGATAGATAATTTATATATGTATATATAAGATTGTTGTTGGAGGCAGGGCTTGATGGCACCTAGAGTGGAGGTGCAGTGAAGTTCGCCATCAGCAATACCATAGAATACCAGGCAAAGCAGATCCAGAGCAGAGCTCTAAAACTCGGAACCACGTAGGTACAAATGTTTTAAAAGGTTTGAAGGCTTATAGCTAGTGGAACTTGAAGCGAAAGTACGAAATTTCATACTTTTCATACTTTTGAATCTGCCGAGCTCTGTGGCCCGGAGCCCACAACTTGGGCAAGACCAAGTGGGGAAGCAGACATACCACGGAAAAACGCCCCAGGAACCTCGGAGCAAATGTGGACAATACACTTTGTTGGTGAGAAGGTCAGGTAGATTACAGGATAAAATAGGCTACTAATTGGAGAGAAAAGTTAATGGTCTGTAAGGCAAACTCAAAGAAAATGAACACTTCACAACATACCAAGAACATGAAAATCTAAGAAGAACATGGAAACATTAAAACTGAGGAAACTCACTAGAAAGAATTTCTACATTGCATGACTAATTAAGAACTAAGATTCTCAGCGACAAAAGCAACTAAGGAAAACAAAGAAGTACTATTTCGAACTTTTCGCAGAGATCATGACACCGGTTTTTCCTTCCCAGGTGATGCCACTGTTACAATATCTCATCGGTACACTCCCAAAGAGCAGTTGAAGAAACATACAATTCTTGCAGATATTGTGGTGTCTGCCGCAGGTAAGAACATAAAGGAGGAGGATAGAAGAACTTCTCAGAAAGGTAGGAATGCACCCCTAGTTTGTGCTAAGTCTGGAGTTTGCCTGACTCATGGTCATTCATCATCCTCCTAGAAATGAGATCTTGAGCTACTTAAAAAGATGAGGATATAGTTCTGCTTGGCTTATTGGTTTCCAGTATTCTACCATAGATGGAGTCCTGATGTGGTGCTGTAGGATAAGCACTGGGCTGCTAAACCCACCAGCTTAAACCCACTGCTAAACCCTTGGAAACTGTATCAGGGTCATTTGAGTTGAAACCAATGCTATGAGTTTAACACAAAACCATAGATTGAAGGGATGAATGTTGTTTCTCAAGCTTCAAAATATTTCTATCTACTATACAAAATTTAAATAGTTCTTTGCCTAATATAGGCTAATCCAGGTTTCTTCTTAGAGGTTTTTATAAATTGTTAGTAAATCTGCCAGATCTGTTGACATTGAAACTGGACAACAGTATAAATTTCCATGCTAAGTAAACTGATCATATTCTTATTTCTAGGCATTCCCAATCTTATTACTGCAGATATGATCCAGGAAGGAGCAGCTGTCATTGACGTGGGAATAAATAGAGTTCAAGATCCCGTGACTTCTAAACCCAAGTTGGTTGGGGATGTGGATTTTGAAGGTAAATTATATAATTGTTAAAAAAATGAACTTAGTAAATGCTTCCTTGTTGTTACAGTGCCGTCGAGTCGATTCTAACGTATAGTGACCCTGTATAGGGTTTACAAGGAGTAGCTGGTGAGCTTGAACCACTGACCTTGCAGTTCAAACAGCTTTGCAGTCCAGCGCATTAACCCACAGTGCCTCACCAGGACTCCTTAAGTAGACATTTAAGACAGATTATTTTCTTTAAGCTTGTTACCATGGTATTACCATTTTAAATGCTTTCCGTATAACAGACACCTTTTAAAATTATAGCCATTCTAGAAATATTTTAGGTGTGTGTAGCATGAAATTATGGAGAGCTGGTATAGAATCTTTTTAGGGAGTTGTTTATTTCTTAAGCCTATTTTGTCAAGACTTTTAACATGTCCAAAAATCTAAGGAAGTGATTAAAAAATTTTTTTTGTATTTAAATCTTTGAGTTTCCTACAAAGGCTTGTAGATTTCCCATTTTCATAACGAGAGGAGACATTACAGACCTAGAATGTTAAAGACAGCCTTGGAAATAGCCACATGGCTGACATTTTGGTAGATGTCTAAGGTCTTGAAGTATCATGTTTAACTGATTTCATGTTGATAATCATCTTTCTAGTTTTCTGCTTAAAATAGCCAGATTTGTGCCTAGCTAGCTAAGTAGGTGCCCTTTGAAGATTGGATTAGGAAAATCATACTTCTTACTTGCCTGAATATTACTGTGCTTGGTGTTTTGGACAAACTGTACTTAAAATCGAGAAACTGAGGTAGGTATTAATTTAGGCAGTACTTATTAGAATTATTCTAGTTATACCTCCCACATATTGAGATGCTTGTTTATAAATGGATTTAATGAGAAGAAACTGTACATATGGCTGGCAAATTATAGGTTATTCAGATAAACCGATATTAACTGATCATTATTTTGTGTTATTTTAATGGTTAAAAAATTACTCTAGAGAAATGTAGATGTGATTTGTGTGTGGGGGTGTCTGAGGTTTGTGAAGATGCTTGTGTATATTGTTGCTTTTTCTTGGCATACTTTCTTAACATTTAAAAATACATACATTGCCTTTGTTTAAAAGGAAGTTAAAGTGGAGTGCCTTTCCTGTTTGTATGTAGGAGTCCGGAAAAAAGCCGGATACATCACTCCGGTTCCTGGAGGTGTTGGTCCCATGACAGTGGCGATGCTAATGAAGAATACCATCATTGCTGCAAAAAAACTGCTGAGGCCTGAAGAACGAGAAGTGAAGTCTAAAGAGCGTGGAGTAGCATCCAACTAACTGTTGTATTATCTGGGTCATCAGCAGTGCTCCAAGCCAATTCAAGAAGGAAAACAGGCCAATAGAATTGCAATATTCTTTATTTATTGTTCTAAAATGGTATAAAATGATACTTTATATTTATTGAAAACTGAAATGGGTGGATGTTTGTATACATAACTTTGCAGTACCTCACAGGTGATCACTCCAGTGTCATGCTGGGTCTTAGGATCTAGCCAAGAGCAGCCATTAACCAAGTGATTAACATGGGGATATGTTAATGGATGTTGAACTTTGTCAAGCCACTTCAGTAGTTAAAATTGGCCTTTTCTAGGATTGCATTTCCCAAGTGCTACTCCAATAAGAGTTGATACTTCAGGTTCCAAACCTACTGAGTTCAACTAGTCAAACCAAAGGAAAAATGTTGCTGGAGAAAATTAGGGAAAAGATAAAAAGGAAAAAATAATAGCTGGGTATAAAAAAGTTACCCTTATTTACTATTGTCTGATAACCAGGTTTATATAAAATAAAATTGGATTGGGTGAGAAAGCGACATGTTAATAATATTCCTAAACTGTCATATTGTAGATTAGTTATTTGGAAAATGTTTTGGGTTGTATTATTTGTTACTAGCTCTTGTTTTATGTATGTTAGTATTGAGTGAGGTCTGCCTATTTTAGTTTTCCAGGACTGAAAAGCTTATCTTAGAAGTTATTCATGTGTGTTGTCATCTTTGGCTTTAAACATTCTTGTTAAATATTTGTACTACTAAAGGGAACCTATATGGTTTATTGGTATATCTTGAAACCTATTTTTGAAAAACAAAATAGATACAATGTTGGGCTTGATAATCATTAGGCAGCGTATATAATGAGTATGCAACTCATTTTCCACCAAAGAATTGCTGTTAGCTGCCTGATTTTCTCTGATGTACCTGTTGGCTTTCCTGAAAGATTTTTAAGCATATATGTTAATAATTGAATTTAACCAGACTTTGATGAAAGCTTTTAAATTTTTATTATGTTTTTTTTAATAAAACACTTCTGTCTGGTATGGAATGAGTTTCTGAAATATTGAACCATCCTACTTGTTGTCATTGAACTAGAATTACTTTTTTTTTTTAACTTTTTATTGTAAATTGAGTGAAGGTTTACAGAACCGATCATAATCCCATAGTCAACAACTATACATTTCATATCACAATGATTGCAATCCACTCCTATCAATTAACAGTATTTACCTGTGTTGTTGTT